ATAAAGAGATAATCCATCTACACAGCATCATGGTTTAGTTGTGGATATGTTAAGAGGAAGATTATAGTTTAATAAAGAGATAATCCATCTACACAGCATCATGGTTTAGTTGTGGATATGTTAAGAGGAAGATTATAGTTGAATAAAGAGATAATCCATCTACACAGCATCATGGTTTAGTTGTGGATATGTTAACAGGAAGATTATAGTTGAATAAAGCGATACTTCATGGTTTAGTTTTGGATATGCGAACCAATTTGACCACATACCTGTCGGTTGTCTAAATGTAATTCCTATGAACTTATGTCTGATTTAACTGGTCTTGATGTCTAATCTAAGATTTGCCATGTCTTTTGTGGAAGCTTGTTATTATGAAAATTGTGGTATCTGGCTATAGTGTGTAAACATGGTCATCAGATTAAGTAAGTACAATCAACAACAGTTTCAAGGGCTACATGAAACATCGTTCTTACAAAGGGCGATGAACACTTGGTAAACTTTTTAGAGGTGTTATTTTATAAAAGCTTTCCCCGTGGGTGTATGTAATTAATCTTGAATACTACTTATTTACATGCATTTTAAAAACATTGAATTAAAATAGTTATAACTAGGAAAAAGTCATTTATGAAACTGAAAATTTGTACTTATCTCGATATTTAGTCACTGTGTGAATTTCTAGGAAACATTGTTCAGGGACAAATGTTTTAGACAGTGCGAAATATGTTGGAGTATACGAGGTGTATTGGCCTACGATCATGTTTCTGGTGTCTTGGTATTCTAAATTTTAACGATGTTAGTTATTTTTGACAACTGCGCAAGAGCCAGAACTTTTAATAACGAAAAAAAAAAGATTTTGTTTTTAAATTTTATTTTAATACAGATTTATTGCTTTTTAATCTCTGAATGATTCATTTGAAGCATACACTAAAAACATAAAAAGAGCCATCGTAAATTTTAACTTCTCAAAAAGGTATAAATTAACTTCTGGTTATTTACCTCAACAACTAAATGCTCGCAAATTTACACACTTGATATTTAAAAATGTAGAAATATGATTTGGTATAGTAAGCCTAAAATTAGTTACCAAGAATATTTAGTCAAGTACACTTGTGATGTTATTTCAATGTACGGCTAGTTATTGATTATGAAAATGAAATGTTTATGGAGTACAATTTGCTACCAGTTATTCAGAATAATGCATATATTATTGTTATTATTAATAACGCTGTTTGAAGTAATGTCGAGATAAAAGAACATTTCAAGCAGAGATATAGATTATGGGAAACTTATAAACAAGTCTGAAAAGAGGAAATGATAATGTAACTGCATGTTACGTTCTCACGAATTAAAGCAGTAGTAGGTGAGCTAATTTTGCGATCAGCGGCCGTTGGTGATAATTTCAACATTGTAGACCTAATCGTCCATTTACTAGTTATAGTTCTCGACTGATTAGTTTTCCCATAGTGGACGGTTTAACTGGATAACTATTTGTTTGTTAGTAGTTGTACATCTAAATAAACTATTTGACATCGAATATTTGTAATCATACTGACAGAGATGTATATATAATTTTTATTTAGATGTATGATATTTAAATAAGCATTATCCAGACTGAGTAACTTTTTCATAGTTTAGTATGTAATTGTTTTTCCGAATAATTGTAGAGTTGACAGTACCTTTGTTTCGTGGACTCCGGATTGTCGGTAACTTGGGTTACTACCTTAGCAGTGCATTTATGTAGATTTTGTGCACTAAAATATAGCAATGAATAACTTAAAAAAAAAAATTGAAAACGAAACATTATTATTATTTCTGAAGAAGAGGTAAAATAAATAGTTTATCCCTGCTTTAAATATACAGTGATCCTTATTCATTAATATTATAAAGACTTCGCACTAAAAGGTACTAGTCAATTAGAGCACATCAAAACCAAATGTTTACGGTTCAGAGTCGTACAATTGTGTTGGTTGTAGCTGTGCTATCTATTAATAATTTAGAAAATTGATGAAGTGTCTACGAGATAATTGTGAATATAAGAATACAATTTACATTCGCTACACATAAGTGTTAATTTTAGTAATATAGTACATAAATTTTAGACTGATAATATTATTACTAGCTTAAATCACATCAATCAAGAAAAATGTTATCACTGAGCACAATCAATTACTCTGTTTGCTTACAAATAACTGATAAAGTTAAGTTATAGCCTTATTTGAGCACCTAATTGCCATTATTGTGTGTTTCACAACTTGTATAACAGTATTATTCTGTTCTTCTCTACCTCATGTATTTTTTGGGGGAAATAATAAAAAGGAAAACTACTATTTAGTAGTGAGTTCAGTTTGTAAGCATATATTACTTTCATGTTTCATAAATAACAGTTTTATTTTTGGTCATTAGGTGGCAGCACAAATTATTCTTATATAACGAACGTTTGTGACTTCATTGCACAAACATGATATCTGCCAAAACAATTTTAGTAAAAAGGAAGAACGAATAATCTAAAGTAATATTATGGAGATCAAGTATTTATGCAACCGACACATTTGTTATTGATGTCTGGGTTTAAGAAAAACAGTTTATTAACTATTAAAGCAAAAAATTATATTGCAGCTGTGTGTGTATGCATGGTATCATACTTCATGGCCTGGGATCTATAAAATGTCCTCCCTATTAATCGACATGACCCTAGCATTTGGTGAAGTCCATTGTATGCAGGTGCAGTGAGTTGGAATGTGTGGGTTCTATAAATATCCCACTAACGTCGGCCCAAGCATTCCAGAATACTTGTACCATCCTGGAGGAACCATTCCAGCTTCACTGGCTCTCAGTGTAATCCAAAATTAGAGAAACTGATATGATACTAACAATGTATATTAACACTGAATTATAAAACTAAAACAACCTACTTCAGTGAAATTGTTTTAGAAAAAAGGAAAACAAGTAGTAAAAATATTGCAAAAATTAAGTATGATGTAGGGATGGCAATGCCAAAAAGTACAGAAGCAAAGTAGGGATGAAAACAAAAAACCCTACATAAATAGTCAGTAGGTACTAAGTTAATCTTACAAGCTTATAGTTATTAGGTACTATAAGACTGTATAGCACTATTCAGTTTAAATGCTTTTAATCAAACATGAATTCATGCAACTAACAGGAATTCAACATTTAGTTGTAGATAAAAGTTATTTTTGGAAAGATTTGGCTACCTATTTATTGATTTTTGAATGGTTTTGTGTATTTATCTCCACCTTGTTTCTGTTCTTTTTGGCATTTTCATTCCTACATCATACGTTTTTTGTTTTGCTATTTTATATGACTTTAATATATAGCACCAACTACAGACTGTATTTATGAAGAAGACCCCATATTTAAAGTGATTATACTTTAAGTTAAAAACACACAGTAATAATAAAAACCGTATACTTTCGATTTTTTATATATTATTCATTGAAATTTTGATATAAATATCAACATATGACATCATAAATTCATTGTAAGTAAAAATACACAATAAATAACGAGATACAATAACTATACATGTTTTAAAACAAATACACAGTTTATAGTTCACTCCAACAAAAATTAATATTAGCTTCTGTTAAAGCAACTTATCTACTTAATACATAAGTAAAAATCTACTCATTAATGAATGTATCTAAATAAATAATATTCTTACGCTCTTACTAATAAAGGTTAGAACTTATTGTTTCATCGGTTGGATACCCTCGTTTTTAGCAGTATTTTCGGTCGTAAACCCAATAATATCTTACGAGGTTCTACCAGCCTAGGAGATTCAGAGTTGTCCTAAATATATATACTAAGCTAACTAGGCAAAATAAGATTTTCGTAAACATATATAATAAAAGATTAAGTATAATAGAAATAAACATGTTAAACATTCTAACACTAAAAAAAAATATTACAATATACTGTTGCGTCAGCGAGGTCACGTGACTAATATCACGCCACGTCCTTCTCGAACCTTCGTGAATTATCGGGAGATTACTAGATATCTGTTAGTCTTGTATATATAAGACGTTCACAACGTGACGGGACAACAGTGCAATGAGTAATTGAATGTATGCGGACAAAATATTGTTGGCCACGTGACATGTGAGCTATAGCGTTGTTATAGAGCGACTGTTGAAATTAAGTGTATCTAAAGTTGTATTCGGAAAGAATAAACCAGTTTTATTTAAGAAAGGACTTGTGTCGCTAAAGTTTCGTCGGAACGAATTTACGGAAAACTAACGAACGAACAGAGACGTAACAATACCTTATTAATGGAACAAAGTAATATCAGTGTTTTAATTTTGTTTATTTGAAAAGTTTTTTTGGTGTACAAAACTTGAAGATAGCTTTTATATGTGGAAACAACTGTTAACTGAATTTTTGCACAGATCCTAAAATATAACGTTGATAAACGGAAGTTTGAAAAACAATTGAAAACGGCCATTACTAAATGTTTTCCTGCAGTGAACCCCTACTGTACTTATGCCACAGATAAGATGTTACCTGCAACACACAAAGATGCGATACCTCCGACAAAGAAAAGTATGGTTATTTATGAATTCTCGTGCCAC